AGAGCAAATAAAGGAAGAGGTATACATATTCATGATAGGAAGACAATGTTATAAAATGTGAGTTTTTTCTATACATTCAATCAATTCCACAAGGTTTTCAAGGAACTTGACAAGCTGAAGGCCCAAGGATACCCAAGACACTTCTGAAAAAGAAGAGAGGAGGAATCACCCTACCAGTTATTAAAACTTATTATATAGCTCTTGTAATTGAGACAGTGTGGTGCTCATGCAGGAACAGACGAACAGGCCAATGGAAGCTACACATATATGAATATTTGATGTGTGACCAAGGAATCATTGCAGGTCACTGGATCTAAACAATAAGTAGTGATGGGATAATTGATTCCTATCTGAAAAAAAGCATATCCCTACCTCAAGCCATACCAAATAATCATTTAGTGAGAGATCCAAGACTTAAGTGTGAAATTTTTACACTTTTAGAAGAAAATGTAGGAGCATATCTTTTTGACTTTAGAGGAGATTTTCTTCAAAAATAGAAAGAAGGCACTAATTATAAAAATAAATATTAATAAATATATCTACCTTAAAATTAAGAACTTTTGTTACCTCATAAAGAAAGAGAAAATATAAGGCCAAACTTGTTTTTGCAACATCTCTAATCCACAGAGACTTATTATCCAGGATATATAAAATTCCTGAAAGTTATTGAGAAATAAACAGATAAGCAATAGAAATATGAGCAAAAGATAGAAATAGATACTTACCAGAAGAGAAAACACAAATGGTGAGTAAAGAAAAGATGCTCACCTTCATTATCTAATCAGGCAAATGCAAACTGACAACAATAAAATATTATTCTACATACTAGATTGTCAAAAATTAAGGAGTCCACCTACTGTTCTGAGGATGTGGCTCAAGGACATTGGTATAACCAACTGATTTGAAAAATAATTTGTCATTATCAACTAAAGTTGAATATTTGTATGCCCCAAGATGCAGAAATTCTACTTGTAGGTTTGTTTATTCCCTAGAGAAACTCTTAAACATTTATAGTTATAGTAGGAAACATGTAAAATAAAGATTCAGGGCAGCACGGTTCATAACAGAAGAAGAAAAGAGGAAGAAGAACCTCTTGGTATATTACATAGCAAAGAAATTATCAAAGATACTCTTCTGCAAAGAATCATAGCGTTGTCCCTGATTCCCGACAGCACCCAATTTAGGGCAAAGCTCCACATCCTAGGACCCTCCTCATATCACCCAGTCAAAGCCCAAATTCTGCAATAGGTTCTTTCTAACACCCTGTTACTGAGACACTCCACAGTTCCCCATGATATGCACCCTCCCTAGCTGCAAGGAGTAATAAACCCAACGTGTTTAACAACAGGTGTGTTTTTGGTGGTTTTTGGCTGGAGGGCAGTGACAGGCTGAACACAAAGTATTGTAACTGATCTCCTCTTCTTGGACATGTTAGCAGACAGTTAAATGTTGATGATGCCAGCAGCCTTTGAAATCTCTAATTGGTCCAATCTCCAATGTTTGGTCTAGGCATGAGCCATAGTCATTGGTGTTGAGAAAGTCAAGAAACTGTGGATTTGAAAGCATTAGACATGATTTTCCCATGGACCCTGAAATTGCCCACAATGTTAATGGGCCCAGGAGCTAGGGAATGGAAGCTGTGCCAGTGCAGTGGCATCAGGGCAATTTTTCCATTCGGCTAAAAGGAGCTCATTACTGTCTCCTCTCTTGACTCAGTTTCTCTCCAGCTATTGATATCCTGGAACAGAGATAAGAATTTGAAGAACGGGATTAAATAGACTCAAGCAAAGAGGAAAAGAAAAATAAACCAAGAAGACAAAAAGGGCAGGATCTCAAGGCCAAAAAGAAGGCCTACAGGTGGTTGGGGCCGGCTGTGGCTATGTTGGTCAGGGAAGGAGTGCGCCATTCCCAGAACACTCAAGGGATAATTAACACATATCTAGTGTTTTCAAAGCACTTTCATTTCCACCATCCATAAAACTCATACAAACATTTTACAGACGAGGAAATTGGGGCTCAGAGAGGCTATGTGACTTGTTTGAGGTCTCTCTGCCAGTAAGAGGTGGAATCAGGATTTCAACCTAAGTGTAATTGACTTCCAAACCCATCTAAATTCACCCCACTAGTTTAACCAGCAGGAGTCCCTGTCTGCATCTTCAGAGAACTCAGAATAAGAAGCCAGAAAAGCCAGGAGCCAGAGGTCAAAAAAAATTTCCTCTGAAGAGTCCTTTAGAAGGGCGCTTGATCTCTCTCTTACCTCTTCCTTCTTACAAGCAACTAAAGAGTTACTCACAAAAACACAAACCTCTTAAACCAGGGAGTGAAAGATGCTATCTAAGCTGGTCACGGGGCCTGCACATCACCAGGGCCCCAAGCAGAGCTTCCTTGAAATAACTGAAGGCGGCTCCCCTTCGCTAACATCATCCCCATGACTCATGCAGTCGGCTCTTCCTTAGTGTGTGGAAATGAGACAATCAGGATGCTGATGGGCCAGGTTGCTGGAAATGAGTGCTACAGTCTCTGGGAGCCGTGCAGACATACTTCGCTGATGGGAAGTCCCCTTGGCCGTCACTCTGGATCCCTGAGTGCCCTGAATGCTTGGGCTGAGTGAGAAGAAAGAGCCTTAATGTCCTACAGGAACAGCTCAGAGTACTTGGCCCCTCCAATCCCCATCATTTCTTAGCACCTGGCTCTCTAGAGTCTGGGAATAGAGAGAGGCTGTGCTGCTGAAGGCCATCTCCCGAGATGAGGCACGTGACTGTGGGCATTGGCCACTTCTCTGGCTGCTGTAGCCTCTGGGGCTCTGCTCCTGCAGTACAACACTGGCACCTCTCCTCACTGTGTCACCTGTCCATTCTCACTCAGCTGAGGACAGGGCTAGTCATGAACCTGAATTCCTTTGAGACTTGCCCTCTTTTCCCCTGAGGGAAACTTATATCATTTTTTTGGATTATAGAGATGTTAGTAAAATCAAGTTGGCACTAAATCATTAGCAGAGAACTTGGTTAATTTCCCCAAGTCTAATGTATAAGCAGGAGAAACTAAAGAAGGATGCTGACAGCAACATTTTTGGGGAGCAGGCAGTCAGGGGGTCAGACAGGCCTAGGGGCTCTGTATCTGGGAAACCCCAAGTTGGCTGTATGTGCGGTAAATCCATCTGTCTCACCACATCCTTTCTTTTTTTTTTTTTTTTTAAAGATTTTATTTTTTCCTTTTTCTCCCCAAAGCCCCCCAGTACATAGTTGTATATTCTTCGTTGTGGGTCCTTCTAGTTGTGGCATGTGGGACGCTGCCTCAGTGTGGTTTGATGAGCAGTGCCATGTCCGCGCCCAGGATTCGAACCAACGAAACACTGGGCCGCCTGCAGCGGAGCGCGCGAACTTAACCACTCGGCCACGGGGCCAGCCCCCTCACCACATCCTTTCTTGTCTAGCCCTTGGCTGACTTCAGTGTCCATATGAATACCCCCTTCATCACTCTGGCCCCACAGATCCTTGACCCCATAACTCTGCTCCCCTCTGCGTGGCACACATATGTTCATGCACATGCCTTGGAATTTGTCACTGCTCTTAGCTCCTCTGCTTCTGAATACCAAATTCTACTCTCTGACCCCAGTTCCTATCCTTCCAGCTCTGTCTCTCTGTTACTTTCACTCTGTCTATTCTTTACCCCTTGGAAACGCCCAGTTTTTAGAGACCACAGTGCTCTCTTGCTCTGATTGTCTTAATCCGTCTTGGTCTGCGTTTGAGGAGAAAGAGAAGAAGGAGTGAGGGAGGCTTTCCTCTTGCTAGGCTGTTAGGGCTGTGGCTGTGGCCATTGCTGGCACTGAGGCCAAGCTGGGAAGGGGGAGGAAGAGAGGGAGTCAGCTGAGTTAGGGGCCCCACAGAGGAGCCGGCCAGCAACAAATGGGAACAAAGGCTGGACACTCTTCCGCTGAGCCCCCAGAGCCTGGCCTTGGCCTTCCGGGAACAGCTCCAGGAAATGGCTGAGATTCCAGATTTGGAAGAAGAGACCTGTGAATGAGCTGGGCTCTGAGAGGGGAGAGCAGCCTCTCTCTAGGGAGGGGGTGGGGAGCAGTGCGGGGAGCGCTGACATTGCAGGCTCAGAAGCTACAAGCTCTGGCTGCTCCAGACCAGGTTCCAGGGCTGCAAAGGCTCTTAAAGGTCATTTACTCCAATCACCTTTCCAGGGCCTCAAAAATATTCCTGCCGAGGAGGCTTGAATAGTTTCAGTGATGGGACATGCATAAAAGTGAATAAATAACAATATTGGCTAACCTTTACTGATCACTTATAATGCATTAGGCACTGTGCTAAGTGGTTTTATGCTCTATCTCGTCTCATTCTTACTCCAGCCCCCAAGATAGGAACTATTATTATTATTCCCACGTTACAGATAAGACAACTAACTGCAGGGGTTAAGTAACTTACCCAAGGTCTCACAGAAGCTTATTTCATCTGTCTCTGAGCTGAATAGGAACACACTGTGGGCATCTCCCAGGTTGTCCCAGAGCCTCCAAATCCTTCCTATCTTCTGTTCTACTCACCCCTAGCCCCACCTAGCCTTCGGAAAATGGGCCAAGGAACGATAATACACTCCTGCCCCCCTCCACCTAGCTTCTTTGGCCCACTTTCCTCTCTCCTCAGCTTCTTAATGCCATGCCCTGAGATTCCACCTCTGGGGTTCCGCTCCACTCTAGCAAAGGGTAGCTTGGAAGCAAAGGGATAAGGATTGGCATTCCAGGTTTAAATAGAGGCTTAGGGTTAAAGGCTGTGGTGGAGTTATGGTTAGTGTGAGGGTTACCTTTAAGAAATCCCAGACTAGAACACAGGTAATCTTAGGGCTGAGGTTGGAGTCAGGGGTTATGGCTAAAAGGTCAAGGTCAGAGAGCTTCTCTGCTCTGGTCTCCTCCCAGTTCTCCAAGGCACGGAGGGCCAGGCAGGAAGCATCGGTTTCCTCAAAGCTGCTTCCCTCCTGGGGCAGAGTCTCGGTCACAAACAACCGCCACCACCCTGCCCCGCCCCTCCTTTCCTCCGCTGTGAGCTCAGAGCAGCAGGACAAAGTGTTTCAGACAAGGACAGCGGCCTGAGAGCAGCCATGGGCGCTGGAGGAGTGGGCCTCCTTGGGGCCGGGTGGCCCCTGCCTCTCCTACTTCTGCTCGTCACGGGTGAGTGTGGCCCTCCCTCTCCTAGCCCATGCTCCCTTGATCCAAGGCCTGGCGACGGGAGAAGAGGCCTCCTTATTCCTTTGCTTCCCTTTTGCAGTAGGGGTGCCAGAGATGATGAGCATGATGATGATGATGATGATGAAGTGTGTGTGTAAGACAGAGAGACAGATTGAGAGCCCTCCTGGCCCCCACCTGGATCCCATGCACACTGGCCCTCTCCCTTCCCAGCTTGCTTGTTATTTGGGAGCCGGTCTTCAGATAAGAGAAGGCAGATAAGGTGTGCAAGGATTTGGGGGAGCCATCAGTAGTCAGATCGGGCTCCACCTCCATCTCCCTCCCAGGAGGCACGGCTCAGGACTCCCCACCCCAGATCCTAGTCCATCCCCAGGACCAGCTGCTCCAGGGCCCTGGCCCTGCCAAGATGAGCTGCCGCGCCTCAGGCCAGCCACCTCCCACCATCCGCTGGCTGCTGAATGGACAGCCCCTGAGCATGGTGCCCCCAGACATACACCACCTCCTGCCTGATGGAACCCTCCTGCTGCTGCGGCCCCCTGGCCGAGGACATGCCCAGGATGACCAGGCCCTATCCACAGACCTGGGTGTCTACACATGTGAGGCCAGCAACCGACTGGGCACGGCAGTCAGCCGAGGTGCTCGGCTGTCTGTGGCTGGTGAGGCCTGGGAAGGGACGCCCAGGGTGGGGCACACCTGGGGTGAGATGCCTTTGGTGAGGGAGGTTTGAGGGGATATCTGTGAGGGGAGGCCTGGGCTGGGAGATTGGGAAAAGAGAGCTGGGTTGGGGTGGTCCTAGATGGGAGATTTGAGTGGTGGGTCTGAAGAGTGAACACAAGGCAGCAAAAAGTTAGGTAAAGCAGAATGAGGCAAGGGTGGTGGGGGGAGCTCTGGGGAGGGGAGAACTGGGTGCTGTTCCCTGCTGACCCTGCATCCTCCCCACAGTCCTTCGGGAGGATTTCCAGACCCAGCCTCAGGACACGGTGGCCACGGTGGGTGAACAGGTGATTCTGGAGTGTGGGCCACCCTGGGGCCACCCAGAGCCCACAGTCTCATGGTGGAAGGATGGGAAACCCCTGGCCCTACAGCCAGGGCAGCACACGGTGAGTGTACTTCATCCCGTCCTGGGTATGGGCACACCCTGAGGGACTGAGCTGCCCTCCAGCCCCGTGTCCCCCTGCAGAGCTAGAGGAAGAGAAGGCAGTGAGGCCTTAAGCTTCCCTCCCCACATGGGAGACTTCACAATGCACCTGGCCCTGACAGGTATCCAGGGGTTCCCTGCTGATGGCAAGAGCAGAGAAGAGTGACACAGGGACCTATATGTGTGTGGCCACCAACAATGCAGGACGACGGGAAAGCCGGGCAGCCAGGGTGTCTGTCCAGGGTAAGAGGAGGGTGGGTGGTCAGCTAAAGTCAGGGCCAAGGTGGGGAGCTCCAGTTAGGATGGTGCGGTCTGCTTTTGGCTAGGGTTATGGTATGTGGGACTCAACCTGGGATCAGGGCAGAGTGGTAGGGACTCCATTTAGGAGGAGGTACCCCCACCCCCATCCTAAGTAGAAATGAGTGCTCTAGACCTGGGAAATCTGGGGGTTTTGGTTCTTCTGTAGCTGAGCAATGTTCCATGTCTCAGTTCCTTCACCCTGGCCTGTAGGCCTCATCCCAGCCCTATACTCCCTATAGAGCCCCACGACTACAAGGAGCCTCTGGAGCTTCTGGCTGTGCGAATTCAGCTGGAAAACGCGACCCTGCTGAACCCGGACCCCACAAAAGGCACCAAGCCTGGGCCTGTTGTGTGGCTTAGCTGGAAGGTGAGGCCCAGGACCTAGGGGTGGGAGCCAGTCCAGAGCTTGAGAAAGGGCTGGTCATGAGCTCCCTGACCCCTCCCCCTTCCTCTGGACTCTTTCCCAGGTGAGCGGCCCTGCTGCACCTGCTCAGTCCTACACGGCCCTGTTCAGGGCCCAGACTCCCCCAGGAGGCCAGGGAGCTCCATGGGCAGAGGTCCTGCTGGATGGCTGGCAGAGCGCGGAGCTTAGGGGCCTCCACTGGGGCCAAGACTATGAGTTCAAAGTGAGGCCATCCTCCGGCCGGGCTCGAGGCCCTGACAGCAACGTGCTGCTCCTGAGGCTGCCAGAACAAGGTCAGGGAGAGACGCCCCCAGTATGCCCTCCGGCCCTTTCTTCTCTGGGGACCCTGGACTGTCTCGCTCTAGTCTGGCGGGATGGTGAGGCCTACTCCTGGACTCCTTTCCGCCCTGGCCAGGCAAGGAGAGCTGGGAGAAGCTTCTATTCTCATCAGTGTGGGCTCTGATTCTGTGTCCCCTTCCAGCTCTTTTCCCTAGAGTCCTCTCCCTCAGCATCCCTTACAGCCTGCCTCCCTCCCTTCAGTGCCCAGTGCCCCTCCTCAGGAGGTGACTCTAAAACCTGGCAACAGCAGTGTCCTTGTGAGCTGGATCCCACCACCTGCTGAAAACCACAACGGCATCATCCGTGGCTACCAGGTAACCCCCTCAAGCTGACACACTCCTTCCCGGTGGTGCCAGGATATCCCTCATCCTGCACATCCTTGCTCTGGGCACTGAGAAGAAGCACCTGTGCAGAGAAGCAAGGGAAGCTCACTGTTGTTGAGCAAGGACCTGCTGTCTGCCAGACACCACCAAGCACTTACCTACATGGCCTCATTTCATCTCACAGTCGGCCCTGGGTTATTACCCCCAATTTACAGACAAGAAAAGTGACACTAAGGTTACAGGTATAGGAATCAGAACAGGAATCAAATCAGGCTGTGTCTGACTCTCAGCTTCTAAGGCAGTGGGTGTCAGAGCGTGGTTCCTGGACCAGCAACGTCAGCATCACCTGAGAACTTGTTGGAAATGCAAATTCTTGGGCCTGGTTGTTAAGTTTGTCGTGCTCCACTTTGGTGGCCCAGGTTCAGTTCCCATGTGCAGACCTACACCACCCCTCAGTGGCCATGCTGTGGAGGCAGCTCACATACAAAAAGAGGAAGATTGGCAACAGATGTTAGCTCAGGGTGAATCTTCTTCAGCAAAAAAAAACCAAAAGATTTTCTTTAAAATGCAAATTCTTGGGTCCTTTCCTAGTCTTCATGAATCACAAACTCAGGGATGGGCCTCGATTTTAGCCTAGATTTTAACAAACCCTCCAAGTGATGCTGAGGCATGCTGAAGTTTGAGAACCACTGATCTAACGCATATTTTAGCAGATTACTTTTGCTCTCCTCTGTCAGTCTAGAGAGGTCTCTCTCACTTTGTAGGGGAGAAGGAAGTGTGGGCGCATGTTGGGGGAGTGGCCCCAGGTGAACGGCAGGGTAAGATGACCACATGCCGAAAGTGTGATCTGTATGAAGGGTTCAGGTGCTGTGATGGTGCCAGGAGGCGAGTACTCACCTCTTCTTGTGTATCAGGTCTGGAGCCTGGGCAACACCTCATTGCCCCCCAGCAACTGGACCGTGGCAGGCGAGCAGACCCAGCTGGAGATCGCCACCCGAATGCCAGGTTCCTACTGTGTACAAGTGGCTGCAGTCACTGGCGCTGGGGCTGGAGAGCCCAGTAGGCCTGTCTGCCTCCTTTTAGGTGAGAGCAGTGCCCACCTGTCCCACCTATACCCCTTCAGCCCCCATTCCCACCTTCCTCTCCCTGCTCCCACCTCACACTTCCAGCTCCTCTACCTTGTCTACCAGACCCTCATTGCTTCACCTGCCTCCTCCTTCTGAGCTCCAAATCTCATACAGAGCAGGCCATGGAGCGAGCCACCCGAGAACCCAGCGACCACAGTTCATGGACCCTGGAGCAGCTGAAAGCCGCCTTGAGACGACCAGAGGTCATTGCCAGCGGGGGTGTTGTGCTCTGGCTGCTGCTGCTGGGCACCGCTGTGTGTGTCCACCGCCGGCGCCAGGCTGGGGTGCACCTGGGCCCAGGTGAGAGGGTGGAGTAGACGCCCAAGTGGTCAGGCCTTCCCTGGGTCCAGTCAGAATGCCACAGGGGTTTAGATCTCTGGCCAAGTGCAGGAGACTCTGGATTAAGTCTTCTCCTGCCCTCTTCCAGGTCTGTACAGATATACCAGTGAGGACGCCATTCTAAAACACAGGTGAGAGATGAAAGGGGAGGGACCTGAGGTGAGAGAGGGGCAGAGGGGCCGTGGGACAGTGGAGCTGGGACTGAGAACTGGATGGAGCAGTAGTCTCCCCCGTGCCAGGCAGTTTGGGATCCTAGCACCTGAATCTCCCCTGAACTCCGAGTGAGAATTAATTTCTCTTTCAATAATATTACTAATGCACCACTTGACAGGTGAGTAAGCTGAGAATTAGAAAACTTCAGTGACTTGGCCCAAGGCAGCACAGCTAGTAACTGGTCTTCTGAACTCCTAACCCAGGGCTCTCGTCATTGACCTCTCACTAATACTTACTACACTCTCCTGCTGACTCACCTGCCGGGTGGAGAATAACTAGTACCAGAGGACCAGTCTAATTTCTAATTTTCTCTATACCCTCAGTGCTTACCCAATAGTGCCTTTGCATTTGGTAAGTCACCCACCTATTGAGCGATCATTCCTTCACAATAATCCACCCACAGGTCCAGCAGAGGGCGCTCTGCCCCACGTCATAGATTCTTACCCATTGTTCTCAATAACGAGACCAGCTTGCAGGTGCATCTGCTCCAGGGGAGTTTGGCTGCCAGAGCAAGTCTGTAGTTACGAGACAAGATACTGAGAAAGAAGACATCCTCTTCTTCCCTCCTGTTGGCTGAGTTTTACACTAAATAGGCCGTTAATCTCTGCCCACCTCCTGCTCTTTATCTCATTAGATTGCCTCTGGGAGGTTCACATTCCAAGCCTGCATCTTTCAACAGAAGTTCATCGAGCACACACTATGTGCCAGTCATATCCAGGCCTTGGGCTACCATTCTGCTGTCAGTTTCTCAGCCCAGAGCAAGGTTCCAAGCTGGCTGGTGCCACGTTCCTGCGTTGTTCTGTGTTCACTGGCCTTTCTCTTCCAGCTACCTCCTGGGCTTTGTCTGCTCTGCCCTGAACTTTCTACGGCTCTCTGGGACTTTTATCCCTGTCCTTGAGATTCCATTCTAATCGTTTTGTTCATCCATTCCTTTAGAACAGTCTCCCTCTGCCAGGAACTCTCAGTCTAGGCAGAGACAGCTATGTTAGCACGTGAATGCAACCCGGTGTTGGAAGCACAGAAACGTGTTCAAGATCCAAGGAGGAGTTTGGGGTGGGCAAATATGGAGGAGGAATGTTTCACATTTATCCTGAAAGTAAGAAGGGGAAGAGCAAAGGGAGCGCAAGAAACAGCCTGCTGTGTCCCTAGGTAAAGACAAGCACTTGGTCTGGCTGGGGCATAGGATGTGAGATGGCTCAGGGCAAAGGATAAGGTGAGGGAGCTGGAAGCCAGACCAAAGAGAGCCCTGTAAGCCGTGCTGGGCAGCTGACTCTATCCTGATAAATGGGGAGCCATTGAAGGTTTTAGGCAGAGAAGTGCTTTGTTCTGATCCCTGTTCTTGAAAGATGGCTCAGGCAGCCAGCATGATACCCAGTTCAAAGGGAAACAGACTAGATGTAGAGAGGCCAACATCCCTATAGCCAGCTCCTGCTCTGCCGGCTGAGTGAGCTCACATTTCCTCATGTCAGCTCACAGCATCAGCCTTATGTGGAAGGCCTCATTGTTGCCATTTTACAGATGAAGAAACTGGGGCTTACAGAGGCCAATAGACCTAGCTGCCCAGGATTGCACAGCTAGGCTGCAGCAGATGGGGATTTCCGGGTTTGTCTGGCTCCAGACCTGTGTTCTTTTCGTCTCAACACACAGCTCTTTCTGTAATACCTCCTAGCTCTGGGCAACTTGGACTTTCCCTGACCTGGGGATAAGAAAGTGGGGCTGAGTTTGGAACACTGGATCTTAAGGAGTTTGTGAAGGGCTGAAAAACACTGAGAATAAAGCTGACACCAGCATCTTCTCAACCCCTTCTGCTCCCTCTGAGCTGGAGGTCTTGGCCAATTAGGTTCCCACTTCACTCTGTTTCTCCTGCCCCACCCGCACTCTCCGTTTCCCCAGGATGGATCACAGTGACTCCCCTTGGCTGGCAGACACTTGGCGGTCCACCTCTGGCTCTCGGGATCTGAGCAGCAGCAGCAGCCTCAGCAGCCGGCTGGGAGTGGACCCCCGGGACTCCCTAGACTGCCGGCGCTCCTGTGAGCATGCCCAGTGGGGGCCAGGGCCTGGCAGTAGAGTGGGATCCCAGGACTGGAGAGGGGGGATGGAGGGTGGGATGCCTCACCATAATTCCTCCTGTCGTTTTTATTGCAGTGATCTCCTGGGATCCCCGAAGTCCAGGTGTGCCCCTGCTTCCTGACACCAGCACTTTCTATGGCTCCCTCATCGCTGAGATGCCTCCCAGCTCACCAGCCCAGCCAAGCCCCCAGGCCCCAGCTGTCAGGCGTCTCCCACCCCAGCTGGCCCGGCTCTCCAGTCCTTGGCCCAGCTCAGACAGCCTCTGCAGCCGCAGGGGACTCTCTTCTCCGCGCTTGTCTCTGGCCCCGGCGGAGGCTTGGAAGGCCAAAAAGAAGCAGGGTAAGGTTGGGGAGGATAGACAGAGCCTGAAGTAGGTGGTAGGAGGAACCAGGAATGGGAATGTGGTGGGCTGCACCCCACCCACAGCTTCCATTCTCCTGTACTGGCGGACGCCTATCACCAAAGCACTCAGCTAGGAGTGTGCTGACCTCAGCTTTCCTTTACACTGTGCTCTTGGTGGTTCGGCCACACCAGTAGTGAGCCGTGTTTCTGCAGTCAATTCGACTCAGCAAATATTTAATAAGCACAACTGTATGCCCCACATGGATACACAAGAGATATCAGATACAGTCTTTGCCCTCTGAGGGCTCAAAGTCTAATGAAAGTGCCTGACCAGGATACAAGTAATTCTAGAACCTGGCAGAATGTTCCCAGTGCTAGCATGCAGCCTCAGGCTCACATGGACTCATCTTGTGCACTAGGCATGGATCTACATGGGCACCGACTCCTAATTCGCTTTCCAGAGGAGAATGAGTATTTCCTTTCTGCCCAGATCTCTCCCTGGCTTTCAGCTACCTTCCTTGACTTTCCAGAGAGAAATAATTATAGTCTCTGTTTCTTTAGCAACTCTATACGTTAGGTGCATCACTTACATTTGTTATTTCACTTAGTCCTCGCAACATATTGGCTAGGTATTATTTCTCAGATTTTACAGATAGGGAAAGAGGACCAGAAGTGGGTAACTTGTTCAAAATCCCACAAGCCAATCAGCTGCAGAACTCAAAGTTGAAGCCAGAATGGCCTGCTTCCAAAGGCTGCTCTGAACCTGTCTGGGAGGGCCCTCGGGAAACCCTATTCTCTCGACTTTTTTCTCCTGTTTCTGAACATTGGCCTGCACTCTGCCTGCTGTCTTCGTGAGCCTTCTGTTCTGATTAATAAGATTTACAAATGTTCGACAGCCAATTTTTTTTAAGTGGATATAATCCAACTTTTATGAAGACAAAGATGGATTTGGAGTAATTAAGAACTTGTCCAATTTCCAGAATTGTATGACTCTAATTACTAGCGAAACTGGCATTCTTTCTAGCTTTGCCTCAGAGTTTTTGCAGGAGAAATCCTCAGTGGTAATGAAACACCAGCTAAAAAGAGGTTGCATAAGTCTCATTTAGAAACCAGCTTTCCAGTGGAGCACGATGCTGACTTGAATATGCCGTATAGTCCCTCTCAGAATATTAATGCTCCTGGGAAAAGGTGAGGCGTTTTCCACAGCCAGTTCTTAAGCAAAGGTCCATTTCTGAGATGAGGCTTCCTAACCTCACTCAGAGGTTTAGGTCCTCACTTCACCCCTCTTTATCCTCACCCCTGCCCCACCCACTGCTGCCCCAGGATGAGTGGACCACAGCGACACCCCTGGGCTGGTGGACACTTGGCCCACCTCTGGTTCCCGGGGTCTCAGCAGCGGGGCAATATCATGTCATGATCTTTTCAAGAGCCCTGAAATTGCCTCTACTGCTGTCATCTCGTCCAAAAGACTGATGATTCTTTGTCTTCTAAAACTGGCAGCTTCTCTCAGTGCCCCCTCCCCCACTTCACCTGCTCATTCCTTTTTCTTATTGTTTGACCTGAGTTGTGGATTTTCTCCACGACTGATATTCTTGTGACTGCACTCTCCCGCGTCTCACCCATTATATAAGGTTCTTAGTTCTGCTCGCCTTGCCAGATACATACACTGAATATCCTCATTCATTCATTAATTCAAATGAATATGTATTGCAATTCAGGTATGCCCAATGAGATTTGACGAAATCTTGATAACATTTTTATTGTATAGTTTAAATTCAAATAACTTTGAAACTAAAATCCAAGTAATTCCAAGCAAGGTGGGAGGAGGCTTTTTGTTACCAGAATCCTTTGGAGGAAATAAAAAGGGCTGGGATAAATATAGCCTTTTCTAGGACTGGCCTTTTCCCTTTGCTTTCCATGCAAACCAACCAACCAGTATGTGTCCCCTTTTCTGAACTCAGTCAAGAAGCCAGGCACTAGACAAGACACAGCTGATGATGGCAGACTTGGAGCTCTTGAAGGTGGCCTCCAGGATTCTCTAGGTCATACAACTAAAGGAAATGAATAAAACCAAAGCAGCCAAAGTATAAAAGGAAACTTCGATGGAGGAAGTCTAGCTATTGTGAGGGGTTTTATCCCAGTGACTCAGAAGGTCTGGCCGCTGTACATGGATTCCCAGAGTCCAGATGGGCGCTTGGTAAATGCTGTAACCTTGGTCTTGTCCCTGCTCTGAACCAGCCCACGGTGGCCCCCAGATCTTTGAGATCAGACTAACTAGACAGCTCTGCCTCGAGTGTCCTGCCTGGTCTCTGGTTCCGCAAGGAGAGATCCCCTTTCCAAATTGACATCAGATCACGTGACTAATCTGAAGGCTGTTTCTTTTGTCCTTTTCTGGATGTTCTCCTGGTTCCTGGTCTTGAGAAAATCTTCCCTCTGTTCCCCTGTTCCTCTCTGGTTTAAACTTAGGTCTCTTTGGGTTTTGGCCTAAGAAGCATACTCACAGGTCATGGCTGCGTCTGTTCTTTCAGTCACCTCAGCTTCTCTATTGTCAGAGTTCACTCAGAGTCCTGGCTCTTAAATGGCCATGTGGGCCAGACGATAGCTGCCACCTTGTGTGTGATTTGTCTCATCTTGTGCTCACACCTCCAACTCTGATACCATCCACCAATTCACTCATTCATTCCTCAAACATTGAATGTCTATGGGCAGGGCATTGCCTCCCTGGGTGAGACCAACACGTCTTCCTATTCTAAAGTTCCTCTTGTTGTCAGCCGACCCGCTCCTGTCCCACTTGAACTGGTCTGGGGTTCCCTGGTTTTGTCTTACCCACTCAGCTCAACTTGACAGTCCAACCCATTTCCCCAAGTGAGAGATGCTCAAGTTTCTCAGGGCAGGACTATGTAGAACCATGTGAGATATTTGCAGTGTGAGAAATGGAAATGGACAGATTCTCTCCAAGAAAAGAAGGAGTATGTGTCTTCACAGAGCCAAAATTTATGAGAGGAGCAGCAATGTGAGGTATAGAGATCAGGAAGATTGGGGTGTATACAGTAAAGGAGAAGAAAGCTGTTTTTTTAAGGTATTCATTAGGCTCTGGGAACTTTCCAATCTGTTTTTATTTATTGGCAAAAATGATCATTTGAAGTGGGTGCTTACAAATGAAACAGGCTCAGAAAGGTTAATGGATTTATCTTAGGCCACACAGCTAATATGTGGCTGAGCCAGGCTATGAGTGCAGGTCTTTTGACTCCAAGCCTAGTGCTCCTTCCGCCCTGTCACAGCTGCCTGGATGAAGGTGGGCAGTGGAGAGGATAGAGGGAGGTTCTTTTCCCTTTTCTCTGGGTTCAGGGACACTTAAGCTTAACTGAATGATAAAGCTGAAGATAGAGCCTGTGCTTGGGCTCTGAAAAGCCCACCCAGGCTTGTCCCCAACCATTGATTCATTTCTTTGCAGAGCTGCACCAGGCCAACAGCTCCCCGCTGCTCCGGGCCAGCCACCCTATGGAGCTCTGGGCCTGGGAGTTGGGGAACAGAGGCTCCAAAAACCTTCCCCAGAGCCCAGGTGAGAGGAGGGCCCTGAGAGGGAAGCGAGGCGGGGCGGCAGTGTGTAGCAGCCCACAGCCCTGCATCTGGCTTCTCCTGTCCTGGGGAGGCTGGCTGCGTGGGGAGTGGGGTCAGGAAGCTGAGGGGGCTGGGCAGGCAGGCAGGCAGGGGTCTGGGGCTGACAGAGGTTCTGCCATTCTCATGCCCAGGAGCTGTGCCCCGAGCTCTGGTTGCCTGGCGGGCCCTGGGACCGCAGCTCCTCAGCTCCTCCAGTGAGCTGGTGACTCGCCCTCTCCCCCCGGCACCCCTCTCTCCTCGTGGATCCCCCATTCAGAGTCAACAGACCCAGTAAGACAGCATGGGTCAGGAGGCAGGGCTGGGGATTGAGGGTGTGGCGGGTGTTTGCTGAGATTGGACTTGGACGGGGGTGGAGGGAGGCATGGACAGCGACTCGAAGAACTGCACTAACCATCCTGCCATCACTGTCTTACCCCAATCAGGCACTTGGAGGAGCCCAAAGCTCCCTCCTCCCCGCCACTGCCAGCTGCCACCATCCCCAGCCTTATCCCCTCCAGTCCCCCCAGCCTCTCCAGCCCCCAGGCCTCTTCCCTCTCTGGTCCCAGCCCAGCTTCCAGTCGCCTGTCCAGCTCTTCACTGTCATCCTTCGGGGAGGATCAGGACAGTGTGCTGACTCCTGAGGAAGTGGCCCTGTGCCTGGAGCTCAGTGAGGGTGAGGAGACCCCCAGGTGAGTAGCCTGTGGGATAACCGGAGACCGCAGACAGCATGCTACAGGAGTGTGCTTATCTCTACCCCATTCCCCTTTCCTCAACTGGAATGTTTCTGCCATGGCACCATCCTACCCCACCTCAACCACTGAACAGTCTCCCATTTTGCCTCTTCCCAGGAACAGTGTCTCTCCCATGCCAAGGGCTCCTTCACCTCCAGTCACCTATGGGTACATCAGTGTCCCGACAGCCTCAGAGCTGGCAGACATGGGCAGGGCTGGAGGAGGGGTGGGGTCCGAAGTGAGGGGCTTGTTGTGCCCACCTCGGCCCTGCCCCACCCCCACCCCCAGTGAGGGCTCCCTGGCCAACGGCTGGGGCTCAGCCTCTGAGGACAACGGCCCCAGCGCCCGAGCCAGCCTTGTCAGCTCCTCTGATGGCTCCTTCCTCGCTGATGCGCACTTCGCCCGGGCCCTGGCAGTCGCTGTGGACAGCTTTGGCTTTGGTCTGGAGCCCAGGGAGGCAGACTGCGTCTTCACAGGTATGTGAGACCATCCCATCTTACTGCTCAGCCCCACCTCTTGGAGTGGACACCCCCCTTCTCCCCAAACAAGAGGCAAACCTTCCTAATCATCATCTACGTTGTCCTCACGCTTAAAACAGCTGGGTTTTGAGTCATTACTATGTCCCAGGAATATAAGTGCTTTATATACATTCATATTAGTAACAATTCTATAAGGATATTCTTTATCTTTCTTTTCTAACTGAGGAAACTGTAAGTCAAATCAGTTTATAAACTTGCCTAAGGTCACCCACAAGAACAAGGATAGATCAATCGTTCAATTCTAAAGCCCAGAGGCAGCCAATTGTATGGTCCATTCCCCTAACTCCAGGACTGTCCTCTTACCCAGACATGGGTCTCCAGGACTGTCCTATTACCTAGACGTGGGTTTCCAGAACAGATTGTCCCCTGACTTCTTCTACTTACTAACCCAGTGTTTCAGATGCCTCCTCACTATGGGAAGTTCTGTTTCCTCTCTTACTCCTGCTGTACTTCCAAGCCCTTCCTCTTGCCCTGTCTGTGGCTGGGGTGGGCTCACCCCTTCACATATCTAGCAGAGTGGGACCACTGTCTCCATGTCAACAGAAGACAGCTCACGGCTCCCCATGTCCCTTTGGTGTTCCCATCCTCATACACTCTATCAGATCCTCTATACCCATCTTAAGAACCCTAACTCTACCCTTTGCCCCCAAGCAAAACAACCAGGCTTGTGGCAAATAGGAGAGCAAGGATTATCCAGGACAGAAGTGCCCATAATGGAGACAGAAGAAGGATACCCAAGGAGTGAGAGGGTGACGGGAGTATGGATAGAAGGCCAGGGCTGAGCCGGGAGGAAACAGTTCAAGCTCTTTTCTCTAAAGAAACCAAAGGACTGTCTTCTTTTCCCAGGGGGCTGGGGCCTCTAGGGATATGGCCAGTGGAACTGATGGACTGAGTTGGGGCTAGCTTATGTCTAGGGTTAGGTGTATGCCTTAAGCAGGCTCCAAGCTTTCTGCCCTAAACTGGTCCCCAGGGGTGAAGGCCAACCCTCCACAGGTATCTCTACCCTCCCTGACAGATGCGTCATCACCTCCTTCCCCCCGGGATGACCTCTTCTTGACCTCCACCCTCTCCCTGCCTCTGTGGGAATGGAGGGCAGACTGGTTGGAGGACATGGAGAACAATCACACCCAGCGGCTGGCAAGGGGGCTGCCTCCCTGGCCCCCTGACTCTCGGGTCTCTCCCCAGAGAAGTCAGCTTGGCTGTCCTATGCCCAAGGCTGGCGGTAAGTGTCTGTCTGCCTGGCTACTGTGGCAATCTTGACTAGAGGGGTTTTGGGGAGGAGCCAAGAGGAAGCGTGGGGTCTAGCAGGAGAGAAAAGGAGCAAGGTAGATAACTCCGCTCTCCGCTTCTCCTACAGACTCCTCCTGAAGTGTGGCCCTGAGGCTGCAAAGAAGAGAATCAGAACCGCCTCTCCTGTCAGCCCCCCGCCAGGCTGTGGTGTGGGGGTCTTGGCCTATGCTTCTCTGCAGTTGGGGTCCACCCTGCCCGGCCTCCAGGAGAGTTCTCTCTCCGGGATTGTGAAAACAAATGAAAACAAAATAAGAACAAAGCAGGTCTGGAGCCCCTGGGGAGCAAAAGTCCTCACCTGACTCCTGGCCCTTGCCTTTTTCTCTGTTCCATCCACTCCCACAACCAGGCCTTTCTGGCCTAAGCAGCAGCCCTACCTCCTGACCTCCCCACCCACTTGGGTCACGGGAAGTGAGGAGCCCGAGGTCTCCCTGGAGGACAACAGGGCTTGTGGGAGAGGGCTGTGCAGGAAGGAGCCTCCTCTCTCAGCTTCACCTGGACCAGTCCTACCGAGGCAGGCTCAACTCTCTCCCCACCCACCCCGTGGACAGGAGACAAAGAGGAATGCCACTGAGGCTGAGGCCCTACCTCAGTACCAAGGCAGAGGGTTCAAGATGAATCTAGGGAAGAAGCTGAAGGAAGGGAGGTGTGAAAATGTGGGACAAAAACACCCTCCTCATACTGTTGTCACTCTGGAATTTGATACTATAAAACTGTAATGACTTGATTCTGTGAGATCATTCCCAGAGCACCATTGTGGGAGGGCACACGGAGAGAGGGAAGAATTGCCTGAGTTAGAAAGGGATCAAGCACTCACTGACACTCAGAGAGTGCCACTCACTTCTGTTCTGTAAGGGAGAGGTGGGTTGCATGCATCCATCAGATTTCAAGCAGAATCTAGGAAAGGGAGGAGTGGGGGATTTTCAGGGTCTGCTGGTCTTAGCAATCATTCCTCAGAAGACAACTCCTGCTTTCAGTGGCCCCAGTGCGCCTCCCCAAACACCACTCCCCAGACGGTTTCTTAAAATAGACAAAGCAGCTAAATTCCACAACAGGCAGAACTACCTGTAATGACTGGCTGGTGAATGCTCTTCAGACAAAACAACAGAACAGAGAAATGGTGGAGCAGGACGGCCAGGGCCTGAGCCCAGAAGGCTACTGGAGGGCAGGGAGGGCCACGCCTTTCTCACTTGGGGGGAAAAGCAGGGGCAGAATCCACAAGATGGAAGCATGACCAGGGCCACAGGAAGACACCTCTAGGGAGGACCAACTGGAAAGCAGGCCCTGAAAGGGGGTGATGGTCCCCCAAACCCAAGCAGCTCTACCTGGAGGCGGCTCTGAGTTCAGAGGCTGAGTGAGGCGGGACCCTGGGGGACTCAGGCCAGTCTGGGTGGAGTGTCGTGATCTCAGGATGAGGACTCAGTGCTGCGGATACACAACCCTTCCTCTCTATTTGTTTTTCCCTTTTTGGGTTTTGTTTTTCTTTTAGCTTCCTGTTAAAATTTCTTTTGAAAATATTCCAGCCCTGTTTGCCAGACTGAGGGAGAAACAAGGAGTTGCACTTAGGTCAAAGTGGCAGGAGGGGTCAGAGCCTGGGCTTGGGGGCAGCGACCATCCCCTCGGGGCCCAGGGCAGTTCCTGAGGCAGGGGAGAGCAAGAAGGAAACAAACCTCAGGTAACCAGTCAGTGGTGTGGGCTGTGGGTGTGGCAGAGATGGGGACTACCGCATTCACGTCCAAAATTTTTAAAAATTCTCTGCCAGCCAAAAGAATCATATCTGGGCCTCACCTGGCCCCTTTGTGAGCGGTCAGGGGTCTGAAAAGCCTTGTTTTTCCTTCTTGGCCGGGGTTTGCCCCATCAGCTCCTCCTTTCTTTGAGTTTTTAAAAATTATTATTGCGACGGGCATATTTCCTTATAGGAGAATGCATATGCCCCAGAAGAGGGCCCTAAGAGAGGACTTGGCTTGGTTTTCCGAAGGTGGGACAAGTTTCTTCTCACTGTTGGTTATTTGGAAAGTCCCTCTGGTTGTACCTGGGGGCACAGTGGGCTTCAGTTCCTTCAGGAGGCAGGACAGGTCGCTGTCTCCTAGCCCCTGGCCTCGCCTAGTGCTTTTGACAGGAGACATTCAAAAGGAAGTGGAAGCTACTCATGTGCATTGATACGCAGACCCCAGCAGCCCCCTTCCTCCTGACCTCTGCATGAAACCAGACACACAGGGCCCAGGGCTCGGTTCAGACTCTTTTTATTGCCTTTTTTCACAAACGGTAGAAAGAGATGGAAGGGGAAGAGCTGGCTCTCTGGCTTCTAAGCCAATCCCTCAGGGAGCCCCAGGCATCACTGCCGGGAGGGAAGAGACCCTCCCTGCTCCTCTTTGCTCACCCCCTCATTCACCAGGGGGAGAGGCTCCTGGCCCAGGGACAAGCCCTTCCTCCTGGCACTCCTGATATTCGCATCAAGGGTCATCGTGGTTCCTAGAGAGAGAGAGGCTGGTTTGCAAGGCTCTGGCCCAGGGCAGAGGCCCCAGGAGGGGCTGTGCCTCTCTTCACATCAGCCTCTCTCCCGGCCCAGTTCTCCTATGGGAGCCCAGCTCCTCTATTCTGTCACCTTCTCTTCACCCTTTGTCCCTCGTTCTCCCTCGTGCTCCAGGACTCGTCCCTTCTCCCTCACTCACTGGGTCCTTTCCTTTTGACACGTCCCCCACAAGCCCTTCTCTACCTTCCTGTTTTGTCACCCCTTGGCCCACCCTGCCTAGCCCTCCACTCTCGTTTTTGTGAGACTCCTAGGCCCCACCTCTCGACGTTTCTGTCCTGGCCTTTGGCTCTGGCTCCGGCTCCGGCTCCGGCTCCGACTGCGTCCAGGGCCCCGCGAGCCCCGAGAGCTGCCAGAGCCTCTCGAAGAGTTGCTGCCAGCTGTGGAACAGGTGCTGGTGCCCTGGCCCCGCGACAGGAAGCTCGGTCGACTGTAAGGGAGCCAGGCCTCTTCTGCAGCACAAGAGAGAAGGGCAGCTGGGCCCAGGGGACAGAACACCTCTGCTCACCCACGATGCCACCCCAACCATAATCCCAGCACCGGAAGAAGAGTTGAGGGCAGGCAGAGGGCTCAGGCCATCCCGGGGGCTGAGGAGAGGCAGAGTGCCCAGCACATGGCCTTGACATCAAACGTGCTCAGAAACTTGTAGGGCACTCCCAAGCAGAGCCTTGGGAAAAGAGGGGCAGCACATCCAGCCCCCACTCTTCTCTCATCTGGGCTTCAGGCCTGGGAAAGGACACAATTTGGGAACTCCAGGGGATTCTGCTCAGAGAGCTAGAGAGACAAGTGTCTTTGATGTTTATCAAATGCATGAACCCAGCTGAAAGTGAGGGGTGAGCTGGGTTGAAAATTAGTCCATTGATGGCACCATCTGTACTACACTATTATTATTACTAGGTGGGCCCTAAAGCCCACCTTTTTACATAGCAGTGGCCCTCCATCCTGCCCTGGCCCTCCTTACCATCCAGGTGGGTGCCCCACTGGGTCCCCAGGGGCCCCGCCGGCACCATTCTTCTCTCCCCACTGCGCTCCCGTTCCAAGGAGGACATGCTGCCTGCTGCTCTCAGCCCTAAGGCCCAGCTTGCCTCCTCCTCTGGTGGCGGCAAGGGTGGTGGGGGCAAGTCTGGGGAGAGACCTGTATTCAGCAGAGTCTCCTGCTTCTCCTGATACCAATCTTTCTCCCACTCCCATTCCCCGGCACCAAGAGGCTGCGAACGAACAGCCGAGATGTGGGTTTACCTGCTCCTCCCTCCACCCGCAGAGCTCAACCTTGGTTTCCTGCCTGTTCCCCCTACTGTCACCCTCTCCCAGGCCCAAGGGCCCCCTCACCCCCAGGACTGTGCTCCCGCCTGTAGGGAAGAGCCTTGGGTTTCTTCCGGATTCGGGCATGGGGCCCTTGAAGTGGAGGAGTCATCTCCCCAGGCAACTGCCGGGTTCTCCCTGTAGCATTAGGAGACCAGGAGAGAAGCAAGTAAGACAGGGTCAGGAAGGGGACTTGGGGGTGGAGGGGAAACAAGCTTTTGGGGGTATGGGGAGATGGGGGCAAGTTGACGGTTCTACAGACTTACCTGGGGCACTGCTGGCTGCACTAGGGACAGGGCTGGGGCTGAGGTGATGGGAAGCCATGGGGCCAGCACCCGGGCCAGCACCCAGGCCAGCAGGCCTCCCTTCATGGCTACTCAGAGTGGGCTGGGATACACTGAGAGGAGAACTTGGCCCAAGGGGCACCCTCCTGCAATGACATGAGGCCTCAGCATTTGTTTACTCAGCAAACACTAAGTACCTATTATGTGCCAGGCACTGTGCTGGCCACTCAGCCTAAAATTCAGATGAATAAGACATAGCCCATCCCCCACAAGGCTCCCAAGCTAGTGAAGCATGAGGGACGCCATGTCCTTCAAATGCCCCAGGAAGGTTGCAGAGTCACTTCAACGGAGAAACAGTCTGAAGGCAGTGAGGCACCTTGTCAGCCTCCACATTTCTCCCCAAGAAATGCAGTCACGAGACCTCGTAGCCCAGATTCATCCATCCATCCATCCAATCATCCACTGAATAGATATGTACCAAAGGCCTACAATGTGCAAGGTACTATATACCTCCCTACCTGGGCATCTGGTGGAGATGGGGAATATCAGTGGGGGGCTGGGGAGGGTCAGGAGGTGAGGGAGTAAGAGTAGCTGTGGACTGCTGTCCATAGGAAGGTGTTGGGGAGGGGGTTTCCCCTTGGGACGGAGGGACCAAGCACCCTCCACTGGAGCTGGGCTCTGCCAGGTGGCTCCTCTCAGGCATTGGTGGGCACCACTCTTCTGGCTCTGAGCTGGTGGCAAAGAGGCAGGAGGGTAGGGATGAATGAGTAGCCTCTACACCTTCCCCTTGGCCTTCCTGTTGTCCCCTTCCCTTCCTCTCCCAGCATCTCTGCCCTCCGCTCTGCAGGAGGCCCTGGGCTGGTCTCATGCGTACAGGGCATCTGCAGCAGGGCACATCCTTACCCGCCCTCCAGCTCCTCCTCAGGCCCCTCTAGGCAGCTCAGTTCACAGGAAGAGGGAGGTGGTGGCAGGGCTTCCGGCCAGTTGAGGGAGGGCATCTGCACAGCTTTTCCCAGAAGCTTCACTTTGCCTCCCCTGGCTCCTGAGGAGAGTAGGATGGAGGCACACCAAGATACAGGTAGGAAACAGGCAGTGATGAGACATGTCAGAAGAAGTGCTGGGCTAGGTCCCAGAGGGGAAGGGTAGAGGATACTCTCTGGGGATACTCTGCTCAGGGCTAAAATGGGGGTGTTAGGAACTGGAGTCATACCACTGTCCCCTTGGCTCCATTCTGGAGGAGCATACTGGCTCCAGGTGCCTGGATCCCCTGAGGGGTTTGGGGGGAACCCCCCATGGAAGGTCTGCAGCTCCTCTCCGGCTGGGTCAATGGTGCTATAGACAGGACCCTCAGCAGAGGTGGCAGTGCCCCGGGCCGTCTGAGCCAGGTAAAGGGAGATTCCTGCTTCTAAGGAGGAGAAAGAGGGAGGACCAGGGAGGAGGCAGGGGGCAGAGACAGAAAAATAGAGGACAACAGGAGAATGGAGGGCAAAGGCAATCCCACTGATCAACTTCTTTCCCCACCCTAAACCTGGGTAAAGGTTAAGTGTGAGAGAGGCTCCCCCAACTCACATCCTCCCCAAGGACTGACCAACCTCAGGAAGTCTGGGACTC